TCTAGTACATTGTTTCTGTGTAGAATTAAAAAATAAGATGAAAAGATATGAGACGACAATGGTTGTATAAGAATCAACTTGCATATTTGCAATTATAATAATTTTCTCGCTCCCCTCCTGATCTCTCGCTTTCTCACCTGAATGTACACAGCACTCACGCATTAGCACGTTCTATTACATAAAACAGGAACTATTATTAGCGATAGCACGGTATCGGGAATGAATATGCCTGCATCGGATAGATACGTCGAGAAGGTCGCGACGCACGATATCGGTGCAATCAAAACGCCGCTGATGCTGTTTTAAATTGCGCCACGATTAAAAAAGTTACGACGGCGGGATTCGATATCGTTCCATCCCATTCCCTGGCTCTCTTACAATATGTTCGCAATTAGCGGGATATTAAATTCCCGGACGTACGGCTTGCGAACGGATAGCGTGCCTGCGCCGCTCGTGCGCGGCGTGTGTGCAGTTCGTGAACGAGAGTGAGGCCCGAGGTCGATACTATTTAATTTATGGACATCCGAATCTAATGTTTCTTCTTATCTAAATAACGGAGGGGCGCGAACACACGCGTAAATGTGAGCTCTGAAAACAGGTACATTGATAAAATCGGTTATCTCAGAAAGATTCAAAGGTTCTCGGCTATTTGAAACGTATCCGGCGCATAACACGAGTTCGCAGATACGTGCGCCACTTGAGGTAAAAGTGCCCGGACACGTGTCTAACTGGGGACATTCTTGTTGTTTCGGTCTTTAAACACGAATGTTTAATCTTCAACAGACAGAAAATACCCGTATATATTCAACATATGTGTAATATATTCTACACTGAAAAGAAGAGATTTAAACATTTATTTGTGAAATGTAACGCTTATTTCACAGGAACAAACGTTTATTTAAATACGGCGAAATAAGATTTTATTTCTAGCGAGTAAACGAATTAATAAGAAAACTTAGATATATTTGACAAAAAAATATATATTTCATCACGGTCAAATTTTGTTCTAACCAATTAAATATTCAATTTCATATCTACGAATTAAATATTCATTGTTACTGATATATCCGTTGGTTAGGTCAAAGCTTCCTTTGTCGCGACGCTAAAACGTTCGTCGCGCTTTTGTTTTTAATCACATTAGCCCTATTATCGGCTACAACTATTCCCACGAAAGAAACCGCTACGTGTTCCGCGATAATTAACTCCCGCCCGTTTGTAAGGCACAAAAAGCACATTGCTGGCGCAACGGCAGTTGCCGCAAGGCTTTAATTTGCTAATCTAATTGACGGCAATTCGGCGCTTTGTCGTGAAATAATTAAGATGAATTTTTCATATTCCCCGAATGAATATTTCGCAAAAACATCAATCTCGCTGTTCCAAAAATTCAATACAAAGAGTTTTTCATTGGCCAATTACACGCAGGGCGTGATTACTTTCTGAAAATGTCTATTAACGATAATAAATTCGTTATACAACTTCCATATCGTATTCGCTCAACTTCTACCGCACATTTTCACGGCGATTCCATTTTTCGCGCTCTGATACGGCTCCGTTATGTCGCGTTATTCCTTTCGCAAGGAGCGCCGGCAACGTAACAATAGTGGGGTATATTCAGTCCCGTAGGACTGACTGCAAAACTAAGTTTACTCGTCATTACCGCACTGGCTGTGCGCTGCGCTGTTAAGCAACACCGGCAGTTCGTTTACTCGCGTCCGCTTCCGCTCTCCTTGACGGAAACGACGCTTTTTGCGTGTCGCTGCTTCTCTCCCGCTGCTTCTCCATGACGCGACGGTTTTATTAGATGCAGCGTAAAGCAGCTCGTCATCGCTGTTGATACTCAGCGAAAGACGCTCGAAGTAACACGCCGCACGCGTATCGGATTTCGCATCTAATGGACTTTACTTGTCCCAACTTTGACTGGGATTTGCATTTCCTCCGCTCGTCGGCCTTTCTTTGGAAAATATCGCAACGACTAATTGTCGGAGAAGCTGGAATAGCGATAGGCTTACGCGAGAGGATCGCGTGTTCGATCAGCGCGACCGTTGAAATACGCGCGCTATCGCCGCGGTCTGATAGTAAAGGATGGACTTTTCTACAAAAAAGCACCATATATTGTGAAAGAGAGAGAGAGAGAGAGAGAAAGAGAGAGACAGAAAGAGCGAGAGGGGGAAGGAGAGAGCGTTACGATTTAGACGTGGACGTTTGAAATGAGGCGCACGTTGCACCGGAATTTTACAGTTCTACCGCATCGTCTGCCGCGCGGGATCACATCTGTGGATGCAATAAGTTGCGTTAGCTCCACTCGTATTTCTCCTCAGCTACCGCTGCCGTAGCACCATGCATTATCATGGTAAGGACCGGGTCCGACTATATCCTGTTGGGATCTCGAACGATCCCGACGCGCGCGAGTTAAAGCTCCTCGTGTAGTATCGGGGATCGATTTGTTCTGGACATCTGATACGTAGCGCGGAAGAATTCCTTATCGGTCAGTGGAAGGCGCCGGAAACCCGTTCTTCTTATTGAGTTCAATGCCGCGGGGCATTTATAAGCTTAAAATACAGTTAAATGTGATATTCTCTAATTACCGGATTTGTCGAAAGGACGACTTTCCGGGAATGATTTCTTGTTCAAAATTCAATACGCACCGAAAGGACATTTTCGAGAAATTATCGTCTGTTCAAAATTTAATACACACGCTGTATATATATATATATATATATTTTATACGTAAAATATATTTTATGTGTGAAATATTATATTTTATTATCCATAACATTGATATGTTACGGTGATATATGAAATCGCTTCCGCGAAATATTCCATATAATATTTAAATATTTTATCATTGAAATGTCAGACACGGGTACAGTCAGTGTAATAAATGCTGTATCATTCCCTTTGACGAGGAGTTATACAATTTTCAATCTTACACACAACGGTACAAGGTAACGTTGAAATAATTCTAATTATAACAGCACGTGTGCGCGCATGTATAGAATTACAATGGTTCTAATTATAATAGATCCAATCTCTTCTGTGTATACACGTGAAAGGCTAAAAATTGTGTAACGGTAAAAAAAATTTCAATCTAGGGAATGGTTCGTCCGACGTCACGTATGCTGTAACATTCTCTAGATTGAAAATTAAATGATATTCAGCTTTATACGTATAAGGTCAAACCCGTTTTAATTAAAGCCATTCTAACCTTATCAATTATAATTCAAGTTACTTATGGTTACTTTCAACTTTATGGGTAATGTACAAGGCTGAAAATTGCGTGATTATCCGTCTAGGAAATGATACGATTTACACAACACTGACTGCACAGTCTAGACTAGTTATTTAATCAGCAACATTTCATCCCGCCGGATGAGCGGTGCTGTTTTGTTTCAAGATTTACAACTTTCCTATTTTGCGCACGCACCGGCAAATTTACGCATCGCAAATTAACCACTGGTGTTTCGGCTTGTTTTCCTTGCGGTTTTCATACCTTGCGCATTCCCCCTTTCCCCCCCCCTTTCCTTCGGGAAGGTAGATGCGCTAAGGCGGGCGAACCGAGTTTCGTTCGGGATTTGCGTGTGACGATAAATCTGTGTTAACGTAAAGCGAGACAATGTAATAGCGTGCAGCGACTGCACGCTATTCGGAATTTCTGTCCTGGCTTGCGCCACCCGCGCGAAATGTGGGTTATACAAAGAATAATAAAATAGAATAGGACGCTGATAAAGCGATTCCGCCGGCCGCTTTTCCGAAATTTTCGCTTTGCGGTCTGTCGGGGGTTTAGCCGCGCGGTAGAGATAGGGCGGAATTCCGCGATAAATCGATTCGTATAATTACAGACGGTGCTATTTACAGTACGCGATCTGATCCGATCGCGAGCTGCGGCCCTTTCAAGTCGCGGCACGCTCGGCATTGGCAAGCGCCGTGCAGTATCGCGTTCTGCTTCACGGACCGATGCACTTCACATCGAGAAACACACACTACACGTCAGCGCACAGTGCACTGATGGAAGCCGGGAAGTGCGAAAGGAGCGGAGAATCGCGCGATCGCTGATGCAGGTGGAGTTGGGGCAAGGCCGCTTAACGGTAGTGATGCGAAATCGTGAGAATAAAGTCGCGCACGCGATTTAGAATGCTGTTAAGAATGTATTGGCCTATATATTGCCGTATTTTCAGTGACGCATCAAAAGGGCCGTCCATAAATTTAATGTTTATCGGGCAAAAATTCCTACACATTCGTTTCTTAAATAATAAGTGTTAATTTGAAACAAACGAAACGCGGAAAGGCTACACTGCGGAATGCGGACACGTTTGCATCCACGCGTTAATCACAACAGGTGCCGGCGACACCGGGCTCTTTCTCGGCGGCGTTCAGCCGATCGAGAGCGCGATGCTCGATACGAACGCTCGATATTTTCGTTTCTAAGATTCGTAGTGACTCCAAACTGAGAAGCTCTCGCGTTCTTAATAAGTAGTAAGTTTGATACGAAGCGGGCCCTCTTTCTCTTCCATGTAGGCATTCTTTCTATCTCTGTGCACGTATTAGATTGCATTTCGTATTTGTATGTTTTACGTGACTACCTCTGCGTCTCGTGTGACTATTGTCGCTTGTCATGTTATCGGGAATAAAATATATATTACGTCAGGATCGCGTCCAAAAATATATTAAATATAAAATGTACACACAAGTGTATACTACTGTGTTTTATCAAGTAATTTTTGTTATATCTCGACCACGGTTCACGTTATGTTAACAGCTCGAGCCGCGCGAACGAGGTCGATCGTTAATTACGACGTCAGCGATTTGTTTGACGTGTCAATTAATTATCGACTCGACTCAACCGAACGCGAAACTCTCTCTCTCTCTCTCTCTCTCACGCTTTCCGAGAGAGCCCCTGAAAGCGAGAAATTCGAATCGCTCGACACGATCAGCGGCTCCCTTTTTCCGTCGACGTCGTTGCATTTTCCCACGAACGGACGTTGAAGAAGAGCCTCACTTACCGATCGGCTGTATCAGCTGGCGCAACGATGCCAGCAATGGGAGGATCAATAGAAACGGGGCCATGACGGCTTTGATTCAGACGTCCATCTCGTGCGTTCATTCACGAGGACGGTCTGCAACAAAAAAAAGCACATGCAACCGTATTAACAGCCCGGCCGTACTCCTCCTCGGCGTTGAATACACCGGGCTCTCCATGTCGCGGCAGTCATTATTTCGATAATCGATCAAGCATCGTCCCAGCCGGACGGACGAATCCATTCGCTCCCGTTCTGCGAATGGCAAGCGTGTCTACTTTCCGTCCTCTTTATTTCTTCTTTCTTCCTTTGTACGGGGAGCACTTGTTACCTTCTCAACTATGCCATTTTACGAATCAACTGTCTTTTATTTACGGCACGACGGAAACTCGGAGGCGGAGAAACGCGTGTGTTAATTCCTTGATTTGCCGGTTTTTCCTCAGCTGCGACACTCGCCGAGGTGGTTTCAGCGCGCACGGCTAATCTCGCCCGGATGTCTCGGGAATTTTCGATACAGATTCGCGTGAATTTAACGATCCTTAACACTGCAATCCTTGAGATAATAATTTATAGATAATGGCAATCGTGCGGAGAGAACGATGAGGGCTTAACATGTACGATCTTGCGTGTACGATCTGCTGTGTTGCAGACCTCTAATGTAGATCATGTTCGTCATTATTAACTCAAAGAGGAAACGAAGTAAGAGCTCCATCGAGCAAGAGAGAATAAAAGGCAAACAAAAAGAATAATGAAAGCAAAGAGACTTCTAACGAGCATCGCTCGTGGAGGCTCTTTTTGGTCCCATCGTGCCCGTTAAGCAACGCGTCGCTCCTTTGCAGGTCGGGATTATGGCCGATACGCATCACTGCGGCATCGATTGCAGCTACAATTAAGTTGTCGGGTCAGCTCGATATACGTCGTTGATTTTAATATAAGTCATTTGTCAATTATCGATTCGGGAGAATCGATATAGCGGCATTTGGTCTTGAAATTGGATGCTGATGTTGAAGTGATTTAAATGGACGATCGATTTTTTGACCGTGTAAAATAATTCATTCGGAGCAGGAAACGGTAAGAGCTTTTGTAATTGGGACAATACAAATACTCGAGTATTCAGAATTTCCCATCCCTTTTTCGGTAGTAAATTGATTATCTTCTATGATAGGGATACATCAATATTGCTGGAACATTGGCGAAGAATTGTATACGGAGAAAAATAATTTGCTGCCACATCATCCAACCTAACGTCACCCTTATCACTGACTGTAACCTGTAGGAACTGCTCGCGCCGTTGGTCGCGTAACGCTAGCCGAAGTTAACAGATACACGACAAATGTGTTCCCCTGTCGCGGACGTTGATCGACGTCGACGACGTATCGACAATGTTAATCTGTCTCGTCGTAGAGCTGCGCCCACATTGCCGGCCGTAACTGTGTTACATCGACGACAGCATCGGCCACGGCTAACGTAGCTTCCGTGTACACTGGCGAGAGTGATGTTCAGCCTGCGAGATCATTTTTACTGGATCGCGTTCACACGCAACGTGATTCACGCGCATTGTGCGAAATATCGGACACACATACACACACACACACACACACACGCGAGCGACCGAAATTTTTCAGATCGGGAAGCAATAATATTTTATCGATTTTCGGCGCGTCCGTTCGGAAAAAAAAATATTTTCCACGAGTTATCCCAAACTCGCTGGGCAAATGTTTATCCAAATATTACGCGCGTTAGTCTAGATTACAGAATCGCGTTTACCTAACCAGCGTCATAAACCGTCGAATTACACGAGCCACGAACGAGACCTATATCGATCAGATTGATTCCGGCGTGGAGAGCAGCTCCACGCAGATGAGAGGCTCCGCTTCGGACTGGGAATAGAAATGGCGCGTATAATCCCCTGAAAAAGTGCGGCGCATCGCGCGCTCCGGCATGCGGCAAATCGGACCGCGAAGTGACGCATGTTGTAAATCCCTTCGCTTCATATTTCACGGCAGAGGCGCTCGCCCGCGCCGAGCATTATTTCCGCTTTCGCTCTACTGTCTTGACTGCACTCCTCCCGAACGATCTCTCGCTACTTTTCGGATCGCCTTTCTGTACCTGCTCCAAATGTCCGCGATGATAAACGGACCGGCTCTCGCCCAATCTCGTTCGAGATACGGTTTAGAAATTATTAGCCCTGTAGATTCGCGCGAGCAAAAAGAGCAGGAAGATCGATGCCGTTCCTAGCTTCAGCATTTTTCCGAACTTCGTATCTCTTCGCCTCACTCGACTCCCCGGACTCGGCCGCCGTCGGCGGGACGTTAATTTGCATTTTCGCGAGTCGGCCTCCCCGTTCGCCGCGTGCAACTTTTACGAAGGGAGATTAATTGAAGTCATTAACGTGGTAATAAGTTAAAGTTATTATTGATTAACCGGGGCGTTGATTTGCGGTGTATTACGATCATTACCGCCGAGTCTGCCGAGTTAATTAGCTGTTGGATGCGGACCGTGTGACTGCATGCTAAAACACGCGATCACCGTTAATTAATATCTCATATTTTAATCGGCGCGGCTGATAAGTAGTAAATGACAAACAAAATCAGCAATAGTCTGATGTGCCCGATAGATCAGAATAATCCGAATGTCGAGTGCAAATGATATTACATTATGTTACTCGCACAGGTCGTGTGAAGAGAGTTGCGATAAAGTTGTAATAATCGAAATCATCTGAAAAAAATGCTAGAATGAAGTGAACATAATTACCGATTTTTCAGCCTCTTAAATCAAGTAATATTTTTATCAATTTAAATATATTTTAATAGCTCGTAGTAAATATTTATTTGAACGTATTTTTCTTCAGCATGCAATTGCGAAAAAAGTTGTGATGTATATCAGAAATATTCTCCAGGGCGAGAGCGGCGGAGGTTCTTGGTCGCGCTCGTAAAAATATATATGTATTCTGACGAGGAAAATCCTGGGAACAGCGGGGGATACCGGCGGAATTCCACTCGTCTGAGTTTACAGTCGCGTTCGACCGATGCACCGCGCGCGGTAACGGTCGAATCAGCTCCGCAACGCGATGATCAGCGGCAGGCTGGGTTGTAAAATTTTTGGAAGCCGGAATCGGGTTAGCGATGCTCGACTCTGCGCGAGGACGATAAAACTATTTCCGAGAGAGGACGCGATTTTCTGTGAAACTTCCGGGAGGGTCGAGTGGCACCCGGGAAATTCCCAAGACGCGTAAGCGCCGGGAAGAAAATTCGCTTATCGATCGACGGCGGATGCCGAGGGGGCCTCGCGTTAATAATTCGCGAGCGGGCTGTGCGAGTCGGGACGCGATGAATGCAAATCGCGCGGAGACGCCGCATGAATATTCGCGAGTCGCCGCCGGCACGATTTACAATCCGTCAGATAAGATACGTATCTTTTGTGTGTACACAGAGCCGAGCTGAAAGCGACGTGCTCCGTGCGGGAAAACGAGTCGCATTCCGCGCGACGCGGACGCGAAAGCGAACGCGTGTCGGCTGACCGTGAAACGTGAAATATTAAACGTTTCACTCGTTACCGGTCGAACCCACACTTCGTGCTTAGTCCGTATAAATGTTTACTGGCCGGTGTGGTTGGAATGTTTTTCGCGGAATTTCTACCGGAATCCCGCCACTTCCCCTACCGCTCGTAATTCGGCTAAAAATTCAACGAATTAAATCTCGCGCGAGGGTGCAATTTCATAATTAATTAATTCACTCACTGTTGTACCGAAAATAATATCAGCTCCGTCGGATGCGTAATGCTTCCCGTTGTTAAATTCGCACGGTCGAATTTCACTGAGCTGCTTTCAACTTTTCATCCCGCTTCGAGTGAAAACGTAAACATGCTAATATAAGCACGTTCCTATCATGTGCGCCGCGATCTAAGGTACGTTGTTTAAGAAACTGAATACCGGGGGATGCGCGGATACGCGAGTTGGGTCGAGGGATGAATGGGTCGGATCGAATTTACGTGCGGGCGCACACCGGAATTTTCGCTTTTCTCGCGAGAATAGACGCCTTTATATTAGAATGATTTTTAGTCTGTTTCTTCGAGACGCTGAAAAAACTAAACGCCGCTGAAGCGTGCGAATCGATTTGTTTCGTTCTCGGCAAAGAAGCTGTGTTTCATAACATTAGCAAGTATTGATTTAGACGCTTCGAAGATGTCGATTTTGATGACAATGACCGAACGCACACTGGTGGGTCGCGCAAATTGGAAGTCGAGCATTGCTAAGTGAAAACTCGGCGCGAATGCACGAGGAACTTGCAACGCAATCAGGAATTCATCAAGCAACAATTTCTCGACGATTGCAAGAAATGGGAAAGATCATGAAGTTGGGAAACTGGATACCGCACGATCTCTCCGAAAACAGCATTGGCCGGCGGCTGAGCACATGTGTTTCGCTGCTCGCAAAACAAACGAAAAGGGGATTTTTGTGGAAGATTGTTACCGGCGACGAAAGGTGGATTCTGTACGATAATCCTGAACATCCGACATTCATGAGTAAGCCCCGGAGAGCCTTCCATATCGACGGCGGCAAAACCGAATATCCGCGCCAAGAAAGTTCTCTGTCTGGTGAGATATGATGGGTGTTCTACTACGAGCTGCTGGAACCGGTTCAAACGATTAATTCCCAACGTTACAGCGATCAATTAAAACGCTTGAGTGAAGAAATCGACGAAAAAAGGGCCATTTTATGGATATGGTGGCCATAAAGTCACATTGCTGCATGACAACGCTCGGCTACATGTTGCTGTTGCGACTCAGGAGACCATCTTTACGTTCTCCTTCAAGCAGCTTATTCACCAGATTTGGCTCCTTCCAGATATCATCTGTTCAAGTAAATGCAACATTCGTATTGGCTGCACAACACTTTCGTGAGGTGTCCGAAATCCGAAAATTCATCGATGACTTCTTCGTCTCCAAACTGACACATATTTTGTAAAATAAAGCCCAAACCCGGGTCAAAGTTTTAGTCCTATTTTAAGTCTAATTCAGTTCCACATTAAGTGTTCCAAAATCTTCTATTGTGCTTCTTTTGATGCTGCAAATGGTGAAGTTATTTTGAAGTTGTTTTC